GGTGGCAATGATGGTGGTTGTTGTTGTGATAGAGGTGATGGTTGGGTGGTGACGAAAATGGTAGTGGGGGGTACTAGTGGTGGTGGGGGTGGCCGTGGTAGTTGTGGTGGTTGGATGATAGTGGTGGTGGTAGTGATGATGGTGGTAATGGTGGTGGGAGGTTCCAAATATTACTTTTTTTTAAAAAAATATTTATAAGAAGTTATAAATTTTAGAAACACTTTTAAAAAGTCACCCTAGACATACTCTTATAGGTCTATTTTCTCTATTAAATTTAGGGTGTTAATATTAAGCGTCATAATAACTTTAAAATAAAATTTAAAAAAATCTCAATTGCGAATAATAAAAATTATTTTGTTTATCTTTTAAGATTTAAATTATATTATGCTTTATTATATAGATAATAATATCAATAGGTCTTTGGTCCAAAGATACCTTTTTAACTTGTGAAGACCCTTCTTTCTTGAGATCAAGGATTCAAGTCTCACTCCCCCTCCCCTCCAAAAAAAAAAGTATATATATATATATATATATATATATAACTCATGCATTAAGGGATAATATAATATAAAAAGCATAACCAAATTTTTAAAAAAATAATGGACAAAACCCTAAGTTGAAGACATTGTACAACACAAAATCAAACATTAATTATGTAATATAAATATTTCAAGGACCAATTTTTTTTAAGTGTACGCCATTTTAAATCAATCTACACCCATAATTAATCTTTTTTAAAAATTGACACAGTTTACTTTAAAAACATAACACAAAAAATATCAACATTTGTACATAATTTATCGATTGACTAGTAATTTGTACATGTCTGTTTATTATTAAGAAACACGTGAATTTAAAGAAAAAATGACTCAATTCATTTATTGAATTCAATATCACGCGTCCAATTCGACTTTAACAAAATTATTATCAACTATTGCAATAACATAATAATATTAATAATAGAATAAAGTTTAACTTTATACATATAAATCTACATATATCAAACTCAATCCATACTTCTAAATGCACGCATTTAATTGACAACTTTTAATTCAACCAACTCCTTTAAAATTTATCGTTAATTAAGATTCCGTCAAATTAATAATTCAGTTTCGGGAAAAATACTTGGACAAAGGGGGGCCCACCATCCCTTGCCAGAGCGACGCACGTTAAATAAGGTGGGCCAGGTTAATTAGCTTATAACGCGTGGGCCAGCTTGGTCTTGGGCCGCTAAGGACTGGACCAATGTTGTCAAGAAAGGCTCCCTTGATGAAATCATAGTTTATTAAAACCGGACAGAACATTAAATTAAATTGACAGGAATACCGTGTTAATGGTTCATTAATTGAATTGACCGATAGTATATTACTATAAAAGAAATAAATCTGGTGTCCGCGTTTACTCAACCAATCCAATAGCATCACTCTATTAAGTCATTCAACCAACAAACATTCACTTATTTGATCTGAGATTTTTACCGGTTCTGTTTGAAGAAAGTAGCCGGGAAATCTACGTGGCAGGCCGGATGGAGTCTCATGGGGCCGGACTCCGCCGTGTTCTGGTGCTCGCCTTCTGCGTCGCCGGCATTTGGTGGGTTTATATATATCAGTGTGTGGGCGTACAGTGTAAGTGTTTTCCTTTCGAAGCTCTATTAACTGATATCTTCAAGGTCGGTGCCGTTTTGAGTCTCACAGATGATGTGTTGCTGTGGAATGGTTTACAATTGGAGTTGGAGATAATTAGGGCACAAGTTTGTTGAATTTGGAGTCGCAGCACTGAAAGTTTCGTACCACATACACTCACACACACTCCTAGACTCATAAGTAATTGCGTTGTTTGGATGATTTTACAGTATATGGATTGTGTGGAACTTCATTTATACAACAACGTTGAATGTGTTGAATTTTTGCTTGTGAGCCTGTGTTTATTGCAATCCGGATTGAGCTATAATCATTTTACTGTTAGAATGTGTAGTTTTGCTTTGTTAATGAATCACGGTTGTCAATCTTGTTGAGTCTTACTCATTTCGGTTGCTTAATTAAACCCTATGTACACCAATATTTTAATTTTCGTGCATAGTAACTTGCATGTGTGCCTATTATGAAAGTTTTTCTAAGCAACATTAATTTATTTTCACTTAATGTCCTTCCCTATGCAATCTGGTGCAAGTGTCGGGGCTGATTTTAAGGACCAAACATTGCTATTGTTTAAAGAAACGTATAGTCACTCGAACAAAACCATCAGTGCTTAATCGATTGATTGAAGTTTCCATGGATATTAATTTATCAGTAGCAAATTCTCCAGCTTTACACCTAAAATTATTTATTATTGTCAACTATTATTCACTGGTACTGGAGGACCTTGACCGTTATCAATCATTTTTTCATCTGACAGTTTCGAGGTTTAAAGGAAAAATTTATAGGTTGTCACACGAAATTGAATTGGAACGTTTTATATTATGACTCCTTTAAATTTGCTTTGTCCTATTCACAAGGCTTAACTATTACTTTGACATTGTTATTTCTTACCGGCATATCCTTCTATTTATTTCCCTGTTCTGTGTATTCGGGTCAAAAATTTATTGCAGAAATTGATGCTATGAAAATGCTGAATCAAGAGTAAGTACTCATGCAATTATTATAATGTGCAGGTTCTGGCAAAATCCTCTAAAATGATTCCAGGTGAGTTATTGGTATAATAAAGAAACAACTTTTGTCATGTCTAACACTGTTGGTTAAGGTTCTACTTGATTTTTAATTTTTTGTCTATGTGGTACATGTTCGGTTTTTTCTTTTGTATGCGCACCATTACTTTAAGACTGACCATTGACTAACCAACCCCAAACCGCTCCTCTCTTCTGGAAAAAATTGAAAAAAAGGTTAAGAAAAAAAAATAACTTTATTCTTGTGCAGACACATGCACACAATATAACACAGGATTTTCATACGGTCGTTGCCAAGACTTAGTTACCAATCTCTTTACGTGGGCCTTAGAAAGTGAGAGACTTCTTCTTTGGATGATTTTCTTGGGGAAACTATGCTTTCGTCATCTGTCATAAATGGAAAAAGTTTGGGTTTTAACCTCTGTTCTTATTTCGTTCGGGTTTACATATATATTTTAATCTATTTTAGGCATGGAAAAATAAGATAATGAACCTATTAATTCATGGGCTTCTCAGATCAAGAGGTCTTAGTAGTTAAGATGATAACAAATGCTTGTTTTTATGCAGTGATGCTGATGGGTACCCTTGTTTATGGTGTCAGATACACTTTACCTGAGTATGTTTGTACTCTCCTTGTTGCCGGTGGGGTATCAGTATTTGCACTTTCAAAGGTGAGGTATATTGATTGAATAGTACTATTTTGATATCAGACCTCTATTGTATCTCATCTGTATTATGGTTGGTCTCAGACAAGCTCGAAGACCATCAGCAAGCTGGCACACCCAAATGCTGCACTTGGATACGGACTCTGTTTCTTAAACCTCGCCTTTGATGGGTTCACAAATTGTACTCAGGATTCAATTACAGCAAGGTATCCTACTAAAGAGTTCAACTATATTGTCATTAAGTCCATAATGATTTTAAAGTCAGAGTGGATAATTGCACAAATCAGGACACAACTTCAGAAAGATGCACTGTTTAGAACCTCTTTAATTGGGTTATATGTGTGGATTAGACATATTTCCGGGATTATCGAACCCTGTTCCATATCCTAAAATGCCTTCTGCAACAAATTCTTTGTTATATCCTATTTTTCTTTTCAGAAATGTCGATTACTTATCTGTTAGCTTGTCTTCTAAAGAAGCCTACTTGTAGGTGATAGTTTTTTTTTTCAGAAAACACCTAGACATTTATTTTTACTCCAACAAACCAGCTAGTATCTTCTGTTCTTATTCCAATTACTCTGTCCAGTTAACTTCGGCTATCACAAACTTCTGTACGGGGATTTAGATTCTTCTCTGTATGCAGGCACAATGGATTGATATCTGCAGAGATATGAAGTTTGAATGTTGAGCCTCAGGTTCATAGTCAGTGGTGGTGAGCAGGTCATTAAACGTTCCATAAAATTGTTACATTTACATTTTTTTAAAGCTATGTAATGAGTAGTTTCCAGCACTCTGTTGTTGGCCAAATATAAATGAATAAATACCGAGAGATGATGACAAAAAAAAGAAGAAGAAGAAGAAGAAGATAGAATGCGACAGCAAAGAATCCTGTTTAGTACTGAAAAGGAAGCACAAGATACTCTGCATATGCTACTGGTGTAATTGTATTATCTATTCCTTATCTTAGACTGTTGGTCAAATGGTCTAGGGTCATTCCAAGTTCGATCTTCTTTTTATTATCAGACAGTGCATCTGGGCAGTTTCTTGCGGGTTGCTTCCTGAAATCTAAATGCCGCTGCCGCTGCTTTTTTCAATCATATTGCTTTCTCTTGCTCAGGTACACAAAGACCAGCGCTTGGGATGAATTCATGGGGAACCATTTACAACATGGTATTCATGTTTGGTTGGCCGCATGCCAGTGGATTTGAGGCAGTTCAATTCTGCAAGCAGCACCTGGAAGCTGCGTGGGACATTTTCCTTTATTGTTTGTGTGGTGCAGTGGGGCAGAACTTCATATTTTTAACAATAAGCCGGTTCGGCTCCCTCACGAACACCACCCGCAAGTTTGTCAGCATAGTGGTGTCTTCACTGCTAAGTGGCAATCCCCTCTCCGCAAAGCAATGGGGCAGTGTTGCCATGGTCTTCTTTGGGCTGTCTTTCCAGATTTACCTCAAGTGGAGTAAATTGCAGAGATTTCAAAAGAAAAGAAAGTCGATGTGAGAGTGGGGACCTTTTTTCCCTCTCTCTTTTTATCCAAATGACAATGGTGTAACCGTAAGGTTTAATAGTAACATTAATATATGTATGAATGTAATGGAATAGAACCTATTTAACTTGATCTTTATATGTAGTCAGCGGAAATTTTTGACAATCATTTCTTGTTACTTTTACTTTGAGGTGTCCATGGGCTGGGCTGGGCTGGGCTGGGCTTTCGAAATTTTTTTGGGAAAATTGGAAGGGGTACACCAAATTAGACTTAATTGTAAAAAAATACACAGAAAAAAATGTTAAGTAATTAAGTCATTCATTTTGATATTTATTTGTATCTAAGTATATTATTTGAATTTTATTGATTTTTTTTGTGACATTTTTGTCGTCTATGGATCCATGTGTATTTTTTTTGGAAAGTGGTGCATTAAGTATGTCCTCCCTTGATTCATACAATTTTTTTTGAAAAGCGATTTTGTTTTTAATTTATATTTAATGCATCTTTTTTTTGGAAAGTAGTTTTATTTTCAAATTAATTTAATATCTGAATTATGTATTAGTAGAATAATAACAATTTAACAATAACAGTGTAACAAACTATTTACACAAAATATTATACTATTACATTTTGTCAAACATATATTTTCATATAATTTCATTCAAAATAGTCCATCTCCATTTGAATTTGTTACCAAATAGTGTAACAGTGTAACAAACTATTTACACAAAATATTGTATTATTACATTTTGTCAAACATATTTCATTCAAAATAGTCCATCTCCGTTTTGAATTTGTTACCACATGCGTAAAATTATTGAACATTGTTTTTGTTATAGTGTATTGTTATACTGTCTTTGTTTACAGTGTATTTGTTGCACTGTTTTTGTTACAATAATATGGAGTTTGGATATTAACAAATTTTGAAATTCAAACAAGTGATATATTCTAAAATAAACAAAATATTAAAATTTTCCTATAAAACTAGTAGTAGTAAATATTTAATGCATAAATATAATTTAAAAATAAAACCACTTTCCAAAAAAAAAAAATACGCATGAATTAAGGTGTATTAAAGATAATTTAAGATTTAACAACAATATATATATATATATATATATATATATATATATATNATATATATATATATATATATATATATATATATATATATATATATATATATATATATATATATTGAATTTATATACTTGTTTAAATTTATATATATAGGTATTTATATATGTATTAACAAATTCACATGAATAATGGTGCATTAAATAAGAGATTTTGAATTAAATGACCTTAAAATGAGCATTAACGTCTTTGTATTTCAGTTGTGTATTTTTTTCTAAAATATTTTGTTTTGTATATTTTTTGCCAAAGAAGTCTAATTAGGTGTACCGATTTTCAAATAACTCAATTTTTTTTAAGTCGGGTCTGGATAGTATAAACTCAAGTCCTTACCCAAATAAGTTATCGGCCGGGCCGGGCTTGGCTTTGTGTAGGGATAAGCTATTAGCAGTCCAACCTGCGAGCCTATTGGACTGACTTTTTGAGCTGGGTTGTTCGTGAGTTTTTTTATATGTAACTTCATTTAAAAGTAATGAATATTTTTATAACGTAATATTTGTGTAAATTATATTTTTGAATCAAAAGTAGAGTTAAAATGGAAAAAAATAAAATAATAAATAATTTTATTTTTAATTAGGGGGTGAACTATAGCCAATAGAATGAATACATCTCAATTAGGTTGACACATATTCACTTAACTATCATTTGCATTACTTTGCTCTTTAAAACTTATATGTTATAAAATAATAGATTATTTATAGTATCTAAATTTTTAAACCTTTAAATTTTGACATTAGAAGACTTATTTCAAAATTTCAAATTTAATAGTTTAAAAATATAATTTTTATTCAAAGGAAAGGTCCGATAATGGGGCTGGGTTTTTTTGAGTGGACTATTGGTCCGATAATGGGTTTGGAGACAAATTCAAACCCTCTTTTTAGTATATCGGGTTCGGACAGATCAAATATCGAGTTTTAAACTTATTTTTTTGAGGTCAAGTAATGGGACTTGTGAGTAATCCGGCCCATAAACACATTTACTTTTACTAGCTATGCAATATTTCGTATATTTGAACATAAAGCAGATGCCAAAAAAGTTTACTCACGATGGAGATTCCAAGTTCGAGTTTCGTAAAAATGCATTAGTCGATCAAATGCGCTCAATTTGCTAGTAATTTGCATGTAGCCTGAGGCGATATGATAGTCACGAGTTCAATTTCTCGGTTATATGGGAAAAAGATTAGGTAAAGTGCATGCATATATCAGCAGGAAACAGTTAAATTGGAATAAAACTACATACATCACCAAAGAGAGTGGTAACAGATGGGACCCAACCATAATATAAACACTTAATTAAAGTTGTGTTAATGATTAGACTGAGTGGTTGGGCCACTGTTGGGGTGCACCGTTAGGAAACTCGGTTAAAAGTTTATCCCCAAGACCCACCCAACAATTGATTATTGGTATTAGAAGGTCAAATTCCTCCCATTGTTGTTTAAGCAAAATCAGGATGGAGAGAGAAAGTGACAGCCAGTGAATGCCAACTTTATTTTGTACAGGGTTCCCTCCCTCCCTCCTTTCACCATAGCTTTTGCTTTGTTCATTATCACACTGGTCCTCCACCACCACCCGCTGACCAATTTAAATAGCAGATATCTCCAACCCCACTTCTTCCCAACAGCACAACCCTTATTAGAAATCTCTCTCTCTCTCTCTCTCTCTTTCTCTGCCACAGACACAAAAACACGGGGAGGGGGGGAAGTCTCCAATGCCACAGCAAGACAAAAACACAGATCTTTTATCCTCTGTAAGTAAGCCACATTTTACCCCACTCTTCTCTGAGTTGTGTCTTTATACTTGAATGTTCTTCTATTCCATTCATTTGGCTTTGTTTTCTATATATGTTTTCAATTCTGTATCAGATATCCTTCATTTCCTTCATTGTTTGTGTCTGTCTATCTAGATTTGTTTAAGCATTCATGTCAGGCAAGAAAATAAAATGAACAAGAAGAATATCTGCACACAAGAACCATATGAATTTCTCCACTCCAATAATTAAGAGTCACATCACAGGGAAAACCAAAGGGAAAAAAGAAACATCAAGAAAACTTATTCTATACCCTGCACACCAAGAAGAAAACATATAGGAGTCCAATTCAACTGGTTGATCCTCCTCTACTCTCATTTTCCTTTCAATCTTTTACCTAAAGGGGAATATTGGCGAGGTGCCAATCTTTATAATTACACTCTGGAAAAAAAAAACTAGGGATTATACTGCAGCTTCTGTACAAATGGCAAATCAAGGCTGGATAGTATGGGAAGTCGAAACCTTATCCGAAACCCATAATGGACAAAAGAATGAATCAAAGCACACTGGAAATCAATGTGTGTTGTGGCTGTAACTCCAAATAATGACTTACCAAAAGAGGGGGGAAAAAAAAACTCCGAAGAAGGCAGACCCTGTTGTTAGATCTTTCAAGGGGTTCTAGTCTTCTAGAATGCACCATAACATTCTAGGTCGAAACGCAGATCTTAGTATGCCTCTATATAAAAACTCAGGTCGGCATGACTGCGATCAAAAGAAAAGAACTCCAAAAGAGAAGGTAAAAGCTCTACATAATGCAAAAAACTCTGGATAAGTAGTTATAGGGGGTTTGAAATCCACACAGAAATCCTTCTGTATGTGAGACAAATCATGAGATAGATCATAGACTATGCAGGAGTGCCCTTTTGCAGGGTGGAGGTTGTGAAGGGATGGTGCTTGGGTTTGGAGACGTAGAGTCCATTCCAAGTGTTTTCAATAGGAAGTTCCTCTCCTGAACAATGCATAAAAAATTTTGCTGTCAGTCTTGCTTCAAATATTGAAATCAAATTTCACTCAATTACACGGGAAAAATAGAATGGTGCAAAAAAGAAGAGGTGGGTATGGAGAGAGAGACACACACACACGAGACGTTGGTGCAAGCTTATTTTACATGCATTGAAATCTGGAGTCGGACCATGAGAAATATTAGATTTATTTTGTCAAAAGATGATCTAAGTCTTCATTTTGAATGCAATTTCTTGATGCCAATAGAATAAACATTGGGCCAAAATGTATACAGAAGAAAATGCACTTCTCCATGATTAACTGCAAATTTAATAACTAAGACATTAATATAAATCCTCCAGACTATTGTTAATACAATAATAACTAGTTATCATGTAGACAACCTATTTGGTTCCTTCAAAGATTATGGAGATTATTTACTGATAAACTATTGTTATTTTTCATTGCATGCATATCCCCGGCACCAGTTCTAGTAGAAGTTAGTGTTATTGCATTCTTTGGCCAGGACTACATTTATGCTTTGCCTAAAATCGCCAATAACTCTGGAATGCAAGTATGCATCTTTTCAGCATCAAGAGCTATATTAAACTGTTAGAGCACCTCCAACTATAACTCAAATTTTTACTCAAATTTAAATTAACATTTGAGTAAAAAGTTTGATTTGATATAAAGGGATCCAATGAACAAACTCAAATTTAAAGAAGGAGAGACTCAAATTTAAATGAGGACAAACTTAAATGAGGGCAAACTCAAATTTAAAAGAGAGTAAAAATGACCATTAGATCTTCAAAAGACCATTAAAGATTTGAGTAGAAAAATGAGTCTCCCTTGATTTGGTATAAGTTTGAGTCAAAGGTTGGAACAAGTTTTTTAGACGTTTTTACTCAAATTTATATTTGAATTTAAATTTGAGTTAAGGTTGGAGATGCTCTTAGTTAAAGAAACCTACTTGGTTGATGTACGTGTACCTGGTTCTAACTCTAGCTTACATAAACTACCAATCACTTATATTTGTTAAAATTTGCAATTTTTTGTCAGGGCAGTCAACCCATGAAGTCATCTTAGGCAGACCATGCTTTAGAAGAAGGGAAATTTCCTAGTTAAGTACACACCCACACCACAGACTATAAAACTGTATTTGCTTAATGTAGGCAATGTTTTGTAGTTTTTAGTTCTTATATGGTATGAAACTCTTTAATAACGAGGTGCACAATCAGTGCTTGCATTATTTCAATCTCGAAAAAGTAATCTGCATTTCAACCATATATGGTTACAAGCATGGGCTTGGAGTTGAACTCTGCCTTTGCTGGAAGTGAACCAAATCTGTTGAAACTGGTGGAGTCACAGAGCGTAGCAAAAGATTAATTAATGGTTTGAAGCAGACTACGTTTTTCCTGACTGGAATAGTCAACAGTACAGCTGCTACTGGTCCTTTGCTACAAACATACATGGCTCACTCTAAATAAAGCCATTAAATCAGCAGACACAGTTCTAATGCTACTTGTATTATCAGGAGACAAAAGTAATAATACTACTGCTACTAAAGTCTTGATAACTTTTTTCTGATACGAATAGGGCATAGTAACTGGCAAAGTCTAATCCAAGGAAACTTACACTTTCTGAAAATTTTGGGCTGGGAATTCCTGCTGCCAATGATCTGAATAGTGGGGTTACTTGAAGTGGCGAACTGAACTCTGTACTTGATAAAGCACAAACAGCTCCATGATTGAATTTTAATTCATCAAAACATGGTATGACATCCACTGCAAAAAAAAGTCATTTTCATGAGCAGAGTTACTTCTCGTGGTTTAGTCAAATTATGATTACATAATATCAGATAAGCTTCCTCATAAATATTACAAATTAATTACCTTGATTTGTGGTTTCACCTGAGAGGATTCCATTTTCAGCATCACCAATACCATTTTGCTCTCCTATATGAATTGATTGTAATTCAGCTCCAAGATCTTGATGTAGTGCACCTAGCTCAGCTTGACTTTGTTCTGTGTTATCACCAGCTGTATGGGAAAAGAGAGTTGATCCAGTACTGTAACTGGAGCTGCCTGAGGACTCCTCATTTAAAGCAGGTTGCCTGCATTAACAGTCAATTAGACATTTTGTGGTCAATAAACCCTTCTTGTGTCTAATTCTAATCTGTCACATATTATTTACCTCCAAAATGAACTCACTCCCTCATTACTACTCCTTAACTCCTCTACCAAGTCTTTGAAATTCTTGAGTTGAAAATTCACATCAGACACTTTGAATCTGAGCATATCAGGTTCTTTGGTTTGATTTAGAAAATCTTGGAGAACCTGCATATAATATGATACAGTATTAGATACTATGCAAACTGTATGCGCACACCATATGCCATGTAGCTCCTCAAGGTTTTGGCACAGCACAGCATGAAACGTCATCTATAGATACTAGCAGCTTTAGTTCAACCTTTCTCTCCTTATTGTAAGAAGCAATTGGCCAGACTTCTAGCTTTAAATTTTTTAACCCACAAAATCCACCGTAATAAACTTATATAGGGTTTGCAAACAAACTGTTCTAGATGATACTATCTATTGTTGAAAATGATATAAACAAAAAGGGGAAGATCATTGGTATTGGATCATCACAACTATTTAGGTGCTAATTTGGCATTGATTCCGTGCAAGTAATTATGTATTTTGCTTCCTGCAGATCACTCTTAAACAAGCACAAGATAGTCGAAATCAAGCAAACACATTGCTAATTTTCATCACCTTCCAAGCATTTTCAAGACTCTGATCAGTGTTCTCTGTATTTACTTTGAGTGCAAGCGAGCCGAGGAGTTCTGCTTGTTGCATCAATGCAAATATCTTTGGATCATCCTTCTTGAGAAATCCTTGAATCTTGTCATTACTATCTACTTTTGGATACAAAAAAGACAAATTACATTAGCATGGTAATGGTTTGATAAAGGAGGATCAATATTTAATGTAGACAAAAGTTGTGTGACCCTAAACTGGCTAAGTGTGTAGTATTCTCATGTGTTTTCTTCTGATGTGATCTTCAGTTCATGAATGAGTGATCTCATAATAATTTTTTGACCAAAAGTTCTCTTTAGATAACTCACCATCACTGAAGGCCTCCTTGTTGTTGATGACTTGATGCTGAGTTGGCAAGTCACCCACATTGTGGATGTTTTGAACCAGTACTGCAAAAGGAGGTCTTAGCTGCTGATTTGTTATGCCACATTCCTTGTGCAACATTTCTCCATGTTCGCAATTTTCCATGAGATCAGAGCTGCTAGTCCTCCTAGACCATAACAATCTGTGTTAGTGTGTAACACTTAAGTCTTATTGCTGCCGACATTACGGAGACTGGAAACACGCTAAATTAATTGTACCTGATCTTCTTATAAGGCGGTACCGTATCCGATATTCCATCTATATTGAGCCCATTATTGAATATCACCCTTTTGTTGTTCAGGTTGATGGATGACGTGTTATTCTCTTTTGCTAAGGCCTCATGCTTTGCTCTTTTCTTACACAGGGTGGAAAACCGATTTTTCACAGCATTATCTGTTCTGTATAGGGAGAGAAACAAAGAGAATAAATCATCATTACCACAAACTTCTTGCTAACAAAAACAAAAATACACTACAAACAAAACACTGGTACATCTTCAACTACCTGCCTGAAACCACCTTTGCTATTTCAGTCCATCTGTTGCCAAATATTTTCTGTGCCTGTATATTATTTTGCGATATCAGATACTCTTGATTGATATTTCAGATCACTTCACCTAATAATGAATTGAGGAAATAATTATACTTATTGATCAGTAGGGATTGTCGGGTGATTTTTGAAGGGACAAAACAAACAGCATATCATAGGTGTGCCTTATTCACAGTTTATTCTGTTTTTACCAAAACTTCAAATGCCAATGCTTAGAAGAATGAGAGTGTAATATTGTTCCAAATGAATTAACTCATTGATAGTGTGAAAGATAAACCAACTTTTCTTACTGATAACCCACAATATGGAGACACATCTTGGAGGATTTGAGAAGGCTGCAAATAACGTGTGGAGTGCATCAATTTACCTCACATAAGAGCATGTCTTCCTCTGGTGACCATCCCCCCTTCTTGAAATCAGAATTCAAATAAGTGTACCATCTGCAAAAGAATTTTTTTACATCCACATCAGATTACACTTTAAAACAAAAAGGATCATGAAAAATGATTGGTTGTAATAATTTCAACAAATAGAGGATAAACTAAATAAGCAATTTCTTTATCGAACCTTCTTCTGCATTGCCTGGTTGTTTTATCCTTGAACTTTGATGCTATGATACCCCAACTGCATAATACAACAAAGCCCTCGATTTCATTTATCCAACGATACTGGTCTACTAGCTTAAAAATGAAATATCAGCAAATAACAATCACTATTCATAGTCAATCAGAAAGAAAGAAGGCTCTACTTTTCTGTTCCATGGATGCGAATTTGCTCGCGTAGTATGTCATCCTCCTGCAACTCAGAGAACCCATCTCAGATAACAGTAACATCCAAAACAGAGAAATCAAGAACCATGCAAACTAATACAAAACACACAAACCAGAGGATTTAAAAGATCAAGGGGGGGGGGGGGGGGGGGG